GATTTAGTTTGCAGTGATAGGGAGGAAGACGCAAAACATCAATAACATGTGTTTTTGCAAGTTCATCCACTACATAAGGTATTGGAGGCTTATTTAATTTCACAATTTCTAGTAGTTTTATTTTTATTGATTTTTCTGGAAAGTTAATGTTAGCCACTTAATGATATCATCTTTCTTCCATGAAGTATTTGGCACACGTCAAATTAGACGGGAATGGTAACTGGCGTTATCCATTACTATAACTGAACCCTTTGGTAAATATTCTATCATCTGTTGAAAATATTCTTCATAAACATCAGCGTTCATATCTTCATTGCAGTCTCCAGTTTTTTTAGATTGAAATATTAAAGAACCATGTTTTGAAAACCCGTTAATCACTTCCAATATGAGTTATAATTAGACGTCATCCTTTACCGGAAGGAACCTTCAATCCTGTAGATAATCCTTCCAAAAAAGCCTGTCGTAAAAATTGAATGTTTGTGTTCTGCCACATTTTGCTAACTGTGTAACCTTCATTCACCCAGGTTTCGTCCAAATAAAATAATTTTTTGCCTTCTGCACGTAATTTAAAAATGGTTTTGAGGTATATCCGTTTCCAACAATTTCCTCAGAATAAATAAGTGCTGCTTTGCTTTCCTGTCTATCCCACTTGAACTTCAAATCTATTAGTTTCCCGTAGTTTTGTCTTTCACATTTTAGGAAAATACGGATCACTATTGATTGTGTCCAAAACCTTGGCAAGTGTTGGTATCTCTTTTTTAAAATAAAATTATTCTTATTTCTTCTTATTCCGCTTTTAATTTATTCTGTTTCACTTTTTTCTTACCTCCTGCATTTTTCTTTGGGGGTTTAACAACTCCACTTTTTAATACACTTATAACTTTAGATATCGTTGATTTGCTTACATCCATCATATTTCTTGTCTTTTCAACAGTATCGTTAATAGAAAACGAAGGATTTTCCATTCTTAGTTAATTATAAACATTGCTTACAAATATTTTCTCGTTAACTGACAACACACACTTTTTTATACGTTTCACAGGTGTAAACTTTGAACTTAAACCACACTGCATTTTTCAATACTACACTCACTATTAACCGAAAATAATCACAACTTCTTACTGTGGTAGATAATATAAAAGGCTAATCAAACAGGGTAGGTAATATTGGGAACTGATCAAGATACTAACTGCAATTTCATACCAAATCCTAGGTAGGTAATCATCTTATAATCCCACCACCTTGTTATCATTTTGGTTTTTTCTATGACATTAGTAATCTCCAAGATGATAAAATAACGTTTAACCCTTAGATTATAGATTTCTATAATCTAAGGATTTATCCCATTTACATTTTTAATATAATTATAGTTGCATTTATAGATTTTGAACCCTCAGATTACTTTCTATAATGTAAGCTGAAACCTTTCTCTCCACTTGTCATTAACTTTCACCTTGACATCAAAAATTTCCAAGAAGTCAATGATGAATAACGATTTAAACAATTTAATGTAGGTATACCTAATAGTCAAATTTATAGGCCTTGAAAAATATTTGTTATATACCTTGTTGTTAATTTACTCAACCAGATAACTATAGCATTTACATAACAATTGCAAATAACTCAAAAAACATTTTGTAAAGTACCTAAATATATTTTTAAATGATGATTTTATGTACCCCGTAAATAATAATATATGCACCCACTCCTGAAATTTCCTGATCTGACGATATATTACTTCGTGTTGATTGCGATTCTACTATAACATACTTAAGAGACCAAAAATTACATTTGCGAAAATGTATCAGAAGCAGTTGACGTATCTATGTATCTAGTATTGAAGCAACATTAATTCAAATTGGTGACATGCATATTGTCATTTAAATATATGTAGCCTATTCACAACTTCGATTCCTATTGGATTTTCATATATTTCTTTGAAAATTTTAGCCTCTTTTTATTTATAATTACCACTTTTGATACTATTATATTTGTTTTATCATTTATTTTACATTGCATTTTTATATTTAATTCTTGTATTGTATTTTAAAATTATTATATCCTTTCGCGTTAATTGTATGTTTATACTTTTTGGGATGAAGCCTTGAGTTTTATATAAAAAATTCTTATCACACACAATTGTACCTTTATAAATGTATGCGATTTAGATGTATTGATGAGGTTTTTCAGACATTATGCATACAATCTAAAAATTAACAGGCTAGATAATAACTATCATTAAATTTCTGGAATTACTAATATTTACTCTCTTGAAAAAGGAAGGCATGATGCTGATTTACTATTCTTACATAAATTGTCCGGAAGTGCTTGCTTTATTTTACTTTAATTTTGTATCAAGAACTAGGAATAGGCCATTGTTATATGAAAATAGACATTTAACAAATTATGGTCGTCATAATCCACTTACACGCGTATCTCATGAATTGAATAGCTTGTCGTGTTCCAATGATATATTTTTCAATTAATTTAGAATGTTTAAAAGAATATTACATAGTTAGAAAAAAGGTTTGTTTGTGTACTATTTTTTAAATTATTTCTCTATATATAATATTTAAATTTACTACTGTAATTTGATTATTTTGTATGAAATTGATTTTACATTAATATAGTTGTTTTTTGTTTATTAAATATTAATTAGTAATACATTGGATACATCAGCTTGGTAAACAAGCTTGAGGATAGTAAGATACTGTTTTTACAGATTAATTACGTGTTTTTTTGCAAATTAAACAACAAATTTAATCATCATGTACAGTCGCCACAATCTAATTTGTCTGAAGTGGGGATGCGCTGTAGTCGATTTTCAATTTTCGTCGCCTACCATGACAGTATAAGATGGGCAAATTTTACCACACCACATACAAATTACGATGCGCATATAATAAAATAATTATTATCATCTGTCTACCTATGAAGAATATTAACAATGTAATCAGAGGATTCCCCAATCGACCATTCACTGTTGGGTTCTAATTAACAGTGCTGTTCCTAAAGTGGCGCTGGGATAGTGTCAAAGCCGATGACACTGAATTAAAAAAAACCAATGTAATCATTTGAAATCTATTTTTTTAAATACCGTTTATTACATTAGAATAAAAAAAATAATATTTTGAATACTTCATTCTGTGGAATTGCTTCCCATTCCTCTAAAAGACCTACTCTGAGCTGATCCAAGGTAAGAGGAACAGATACCCGGTTTCGAATCCTACTGAGCATGTCCCAAACATGCTCGATGGGATTTAGAACAGGACTGCGCGCTGACCATGCCATTTGGGTAATACCAACTTTGCTCAAATATTCCGTGACAATTCGGGCGGCATGAGGGCGTACATTGTCATGCATCGGTATGAAGTTTTCACCAATAAATGGTGCATATGAGACAACATAATCTTATAGGATCTCATTTATGTACATATCGCCAGTCACAGATCCCCTAGGGGCCATGAACAATTCTGTACGCGCCTCCGAAGATATTCCAACCCACACCATAACTGAACTCCCTTGGGATAGTAAGCAAAATCTAGATTCATCGGTAAACAACACAAAGCTCCAGTCGTCTGCATTCCAATTTTGATGCTTCCTAGCGAATTGTAATCTGGCTACATGATGTTCCCTGGAAAGTTATGGTCCTATAGCGGGTCTTCGAGATCTCAGATTAGCTTCATTCAAGCTTCTTCTAACTGTTCGTTTACTAACATTTACGTTCCTGGCATGTTCAAGGTTATTCCAAATCTCTACAGCAGTTATGTCACGATTTCTTAGTGCTGAAGATATCGTAAAACGGTCATCTCGATGAGTAGATCTTCCCTTGAGACCGATTTCAGGACGTCAAGTGTACACTCCCGTCTATATAAAACGTGTAAATACACGTTGCACGGTACTGCGTGATATCCCGAGTCTGTTAAACACGTAAATTTGACTTCTTACATCTTGAATAAGAGCAACAACAGTTTCTACATACTTAAATAAATCTTAAAATTTGGACTAATTGACATAACCAAGTAATAAACCATAAAACATAATAAACACTTAACCTTTAATGTCATCGTGAAAATCACTGAAAACTCATAGTCTACTTGGAACACAGAAGTAAAGGCAATATGATAACTTTTACATTATTGAGATTTTCGTAAAATATCTGGAATATGTTCAACTTGGCAAGACATTTCGTGGTAAAAATCTTCAGGGTATTCTACTAAACCGTGTTCTTTGTTGGCCAAATTAAAAAACAAATTAAAAAATCACAACTGTCAAACGTTCGTATATACTGGCTTCAAAGAAAACCTATGTTTAACGAGGCCGTTACTTATCTACATTTCATTTGTTTAATTGAGGATTTTATTAATAGTTTTTTCCTTAGTGTCAATGTAAAATTATCCGATCGAGTTCACTTAGGGCGGATGTCTCAAAATACAAAATTTTCAGGAAAGCAAGATAAACATCCAGATCAGCTCTGAGTGAACTTGTCACAAGTGACAGCAGACTTGTGAATTGTGTGGTATTCTTTATATAATGGGCTAACTTTAGCTGTTAGTGTGCAACACATAGGGCTTGAAAATATAATGAAATTAGTTGGTTGTCCATATTTGCTAATAATTGGACATCCGCCCTAAGTGAATTCAAGTGGAGAATTTAGGGTTGTGTTTGGAATGCCCAATTCAAGATTCAAATTAATTTTCCCGCGCTCAATAAGTAGGAGGATAGAGACACTACATTGTCGTCATACAAATTATTTTTTTTTTAAGCGAAATGTAAAGTTCAACTTAAATATATTAAGCAGGCGAGAGCAGCTAGCAGTGAGCGGTTTTTGGAGACATTGATATTGCACCACAATTTGTAAAATTATAAGCTTAGTTGGTTGTCAATCAGTCTGCTAGATGACATTTCCCCAAATTATGATTTATAATGATTGTCCCAAAGAATATAGTATAATTTTAACATTAAAAACATTTTTATGTATCATATCAGTATATACTTACTTGACACTTAATCTTACTGTACTTCTTCCTCCAGAACTCGAACTAGGCCCGGCCAATGCAGGAAAATTTTCTACTGTTTTTGCAATGCCGGTTTGGCCTCTAACAGTTCTAGTAATTGTTACTTCTGGAGCTTTGTTGTTTCTTGACGATGAATTTGTGGTTATTGTCACCGCAGATGAAGGTTTTGGGCCTCCTCCTAAAATTTATTTATAAGTTATTCGTTATTTTTTTCTAATAAAACTTAAATTAGGTTTAACGAAATTACACATTTTCGTATCAACTAGCCAATGGGTTTCTGGCCTGCTAGATGGGCCACGCTAAATTAAGACTAAGCTTTCATCCAAGACGTGCAGTGAATGGATACAATAGTAGGATCAGAGACAACCCAGCGAAACGTGTAACTCAATGTATTTTTTCACCCATATTTAAATATGGGTGACCAATCTCTATAACGATATACAGTTAAGACATTCAATAGCTATCGAGGATCGGAATGCATTTTTAATGGTTCATTAGCGTTAATGAGTCTATAAATATTTAACGATCTTTCTTGCAACCGGCTGTAAATCCTATAATTTAAGATAAAACATATATTAAAAATAAAACCATATTTGTTTAAATTCCTTTTTTAATGTTCTTTCTTCTCAATTGAAATGTTATTCAATATCATAACGGCGAAATGTTTTATCTGATCAGTCTGGCAATGTTGTATCATCCTCCTAAATCCTAACCTCGTTTTTGATTGCCAGTTTCCTTCAAATTATTTTAAATTGTGATTTATTAGTGTTCATTTTTTTAAAAATGGCCACCGTACAAACAGGATTTACAGAAGGATCTTCAAAGAACTTATCCCAAGTGGATTCTGACATGATTATTTTTTTTTATAAATAATATAAAGTTTATTTATTGGGTCTGAAAGATGATAACCTACATATTGTAGTAATTTTAATAAAAGGTAAATATTAAGCTCACCTCGCCTTATAACGATCTGGCAATATCAGGAGTAAATCATTTTATATTTATATTTTATCTTTTTATTTTCGCATAATTATATTCTATTTTACAGTATTATACATTCATACAGCCTTGCTATAATTATTTGATTTAAAAGATAAGAAAAATTTAAAGATTTTCCAGAATACATTCAGTATCCATATCTTTTTCTTCTACTGATTTTAAAATCATCAATTTTAAGTCATCCAATATTACTGTATATCCTAATGCTGGCAAAATTATGGCGCTTACACGGAGTTAGCCCAAGATGGTTTATAGTGTGAACATTGGATAGGATCGCTATAAATTAATATTTTACGACCAAATAATGAAAAAACGTGTTTACAATATAAATTCTTTTTGCTATCTGCTACTTAGAAATAAATCACTCAGTATAAACTCACTCGTAGTAAAATAATATGCTCACCACCTAAAGTAGGAAAATCATCATTGGAAAAATTAGAATTCATTCTCGTTGTATAATTAACAGACGCCGGTCTTGCACGTACGGTAATGTTACTTGTAGCTCCGCCGAGGGCGGGAAAATTTTGAGGTGTAAGGGGGTTTACGAAAATTCGACCCCTATCCTCTTCGCCGCCCCCTCCTGGCCCACCAGGTTCCATGTTGTAGATACTTGAGGAATTATCTTCATCCAACCTTACAAAAAACAAATAAAGAAAACGCTATGAAAGGTGATTCATTAATAAAATAAATAATTTTATTGCCCAACAGATTAATCCATTTACAGGAAAAAATACAGTAAATAAATGGCAAACATAATATTTTGACAAAATAATTGTAAAAAATAAATCAGTTATTTAATATTTTTCCCAGACAGTCAAAATAAATATCCCATTCAGAATAATACGAATTAAAATTTGAACGCACATTAAAGTTATATAAGTATAATTTCCTGACCATAGTAGAATTTTATAAACATAAAAAGTTCACTGGTTTATTCGGTCAGGAGTTTTAATTTTTTTTTATAAAATTTAAATACATGCAGTACATACGTTTCGGAAACACTGTTCCATCTTCTGGTGCAAGTCAATATTTAATACCTTCACACGCTGTTGAAACAGAAAGATGGGGTTTCTGTTATTTTAAAAAAATTTAAAATGTTTGTAATCGTCCCCATATTTTATTAAATATTGACTTTCGCCATAAGATGGAACAGTGTTTCCGAAACATGCAGTGCCTGTGTTTAAATTTTATAAAACAAATAAATATTGACTGAATAAACCAATGAACTTTTTATTTATATTAAAGTTATAGGCGAGTTTTTTCCAATTTGTTCGAAAATTTGCCATATAAAATGTTTTATGATGTCTAATAGCTATTTGGGAAATATTAAAATTTATTTGGTTTATCAAAAAGCAACAGAGATTGTTCAATACCTCGAATCGGATACTGCCCATCTTTTTTTAAAGAAAAGGAAATCGAGAAATTGCCGCCGAACATTTTCTAAAGATCTTTTATAAGGTTTCAGATAAGAGATGCATATTTTAGCTTGGAACGAACTAAAGAAAAGTACAGGATCTCAAAGCTTTGAGAATTTGTAAAAGAACGAGTGTTGCGAATAAAGAACGCTAAGCTTTTCAACGCACAACCACCGGTATTATCAAAATGATACAAAATTGTAACATTTTGGTCGAATAATATGCTTAAATCTTTGATTTGTGCATAAGTTGACAAAGTTAGGTGGCCAAATAGATAATCAAACTCCACCTTGTTAATATTTCTAGTATATTACCAAAGTCGATCTCCTGCTCATGAAACCATAGATTAATAGAGATAAGGGGTCTTAATTGTGGCATGTCTGTTATACACATACATCTTAAAAATTGTAATAAAATTGGACAAGACGGAAATTGGTCAATAATTTTTTGCTGATTTTAAAAGAGGACAAACTTTTGCCAATTTCCAAATTTCCTGAAATGAAGATTGGCGAAGAATAGTGGTAAAAATATATATTTTTTAAGGATTGCGTTCCAACAATGTACGAATAAACTGACTGACATGCACAACCAGTCGTCACCTTAATGAATCATCATGTATAATTTTATTTTAGTTAAAGGGTTATGGTATTATGAAACAATTAATCAGCTTGAACCTATACTTTTCAATGCTTATTTGTGGACTGAAATAAAAAATAACGACACTTTTAGTAGGTAGATATAAAAAATATGAAATTTGCGATTTCTTGTTCTTGAACTTTATGAAGCTGCGCCTTTATTTCTAAAATAACTAGAAAAACTATTTGATGTAGAAGCTTAATTTTATTTTATTTATGCACAGGTGAAATGTAAAAATATGACGCAATTCTCCAATTCTTTACATCCACAAATCTCTTCAATTCGATAAATCAAATATAATTTTTTAACACTGTCTACTCAATTTAATTGTATTTAATAGTACAATTTTAGCCTACCTCTCTCGTCCACCATTATAACGTCGATTCCTCATATTGTCAGTTCTTGATCTGGGCGCCAAAGTGAATTCCAATTCCAAAGTTCTTGCTTGTTTGGCACCAGATTTACTCATAAATCTGCTATGTTCTGACGCTTTGTGAGCTAAAAAGATGTTTTAAATGATATTTACTTTTAATTTGCTTAGGAAATAAAAAATAATTAATAAAATAAACATAAAATGGCATAGATAAGATTATACTAATAAATAGATATTGCTGTACTTTAATGGGATTAAATTGGCAACAGTGTCAGTTATGTCGCTGAAGCTTGTGACTAGGAAGCACAGAAACAGCCATGTCGAGAATTTGCCTGAAATACATTCAATATCAGATAGAAAAAAATACAATCTGTATAAATGTGAATAATAGTAAACTATTACTTCAGGGGCATTTTAAAGTCCTACTATGACGATACCAATAAGAGCAGATCAGAGACATAAAGATAGGAAACGCACCGGCCGCAGCGTCATCTATGCGTCTCAAATGTTAACTAAAAGTACATATGATTTGTAGACAGAAGGAAGAGGTAGACAGTTTGTAAAAATAAATGTTAGGTTTATGTCGCCCTGGTTCAGTGATGGGCAAAGTACAACCCGCGGGCCAAGTGCGAATCAGCTCATCCCTGTTTCTACAACTTTTAGAAGCTCAGTCACTAATTCATCTGTCACATATGCCTTCATCCTCTTCTAACAAATAATCAATTTTTGTACTTTTACCTTAACTTTTTAACTATTTTAGTATATAAGTAGTGTGTTATATAAAAATAAAAAATAAAGTTTAACACTTAAAAAAATGTGTTTTCTTCATTTTTTTTAAGAATAATTCTGAAAATAGGTGCTGTGCCATCAGCGAGTCATAACAAAATTGTTAAAAATATTATACACGGTGTTTCAAAAAACATGGGCCAACGGTCGAGGGTAAGTTCCTCACATAACAAAAAGGCTTTTTTTCATAACAACACATAGGTCTTCGTTTCGGAGCTACAGAGTGTCAACATTTAGTTTTAATTCGTTATCATTTCGAAAATGACAACAAATTCTAAGAAATACAAAGAAACATATTTTAATCGAAATTTAATGAAATTTCAACCCCTGTACGTTTGAAAGTTTAAAAAGTCAGTGGCGTACCATTTTTTATTTTAATTTACTTTACCCTGTAGCTCCGAAACGAATAGGAATCGGACCTATGTTGATATGAAAAAAAGGGCCTTATTTTTATGTGTGGAATCTATCCTTGAATGTTGGCTCATGTTTTTTGAAACACTCTGTATATGAGAACAGTTATAGCACACATGCTCTTTCAACAAATAAATTTGTTTTATTATGTACTCATTAGATAGATAGCTATTATGATCAGATTGTTCAAAATATAAAAACTGAAGTTTTCAACATATTTCATTTAAAATAATATCTTATAAAATAAATGTTTGTTTTAAATTACGATTATGAGAAGCAACAATATATTTTGACATTAGAACAATTGTTAATCTACTAGTTTATTAATGTAGCAAAAATAAAAATACAGTATTATAATAATGGTCCAATCAAAATAAAGATTAAAAATTTTCTTAATAAGATATTCATTCTCAGAATCACCTAATTGTTTTTGTAAGAGAACTATTTTTTCCTTGTTACACCTCTATGTTTATAGCTTAATAATAATAATAATAATATAAGGTATATTACACAAGAATTACATTAATTATTTATTCTAAATACATATAAGTGTAAGTAACCTAGTAAATCCACTAAGGCTAAGCCAGCACGTGGATTTGCCATTGACACTTTTTTTTTTTTCTTATATACCTATTCAATTACATTTATATTTATAAAATTTCAATAAAATGATGAAAATAATAGTTATTAAAACAGATATATTGAATCATATTAAAAAAGAATAATTATAAAATAATAATAATAAAAATAATTATAATCGATTAAAAACATTGAAATTACAGGATAAATATATAAAAATTAAATATTAAAAACTAAATACTAATATTTAAATGAATATCACAATTTTTTATACTAAGAATTGCATAGGATCGACTATATAACACGATATAACACATTCTTTTGGGTGCTTTAGAGAAGGAATATAGAAAAAAGATACTGAAAATGGACATAAATGGCGAAAAATAGAAATATTAATAAGTTTTTTAATAGGATATAATTTACTTAATACAATAAAACCTGTCAGAAAATTCATTATCAAGCTTCTTTTGTCCTTATAGATAAAATTAATTTATTTAAATATTTTAGAAAAAGTAAAATGCAGACATATTTTATTCCACATTTCTAAGTCAATATTTCAGTAGAAAATAATTTAAAAAAAACTTTTACCTTTAATTTTTCTTTTTTTACATAAACCAGATGGTATTATTTCAAAATACATTATTGATTTAAGGAAAACTCAAGGAAATAACACTAAAATAAACTAAGAAAGTTTCTTAACAATTATCAAATAACAATGATTACTTTAGTGTAAAACAATTTTTAAAGTTACTCACTAAACAGTAATTTTTTTACTATGTACATTTTTTAAAAAAATATATCATGATACAACAAATGTGTGTAATGAATAAATAACTATTAAATTGTTAATAATTCAGTGTCACTAATATCAGAAATGCTATTTTATAATTTTTCACATAGTCTGAAATAACATTTCAAAACATCGAGAAAACAAAAAGTGGTATTTAATGAGGCTTATGCAAAGCTCCTGTTAGGGCAAATATTTCCTTAAAAAAGTTGTAAAACCTACATTCAAGAGAATTGTACAAAAACACTGCAAACACAATTTCTAACGAATCTAAGCCAAGAAAAAATGTAGGGACAATATTGCTATTTCTTAAACGGTAATGGATAGAAGATTGGTTAAATTAGACAAAAGTTGTGCAGTTTTGTATTCATTAAAATTGTGCCAGGAGACCTTTTATATCTACAGGGAGATTCAAAATATCAGACAAAAAATTTTTATTTCTCTAAATTCATTCATTTTTGTGCGATAGCAATTTTTATATCATTGTTGTTGAAACACAGTAAAGGAACTATGTTCAGTCGGGATTATTCCTTATGTAAATTAACATGGGAAATCGCCAAGGTCCTATGAAGGAGATGAGGCCTAGTATAACGTCGAAGAGAAAAATCACTCGTAATGGCAATGTTATAAGGGAATTACTTAATATCTGTCATTATTGAACCGATTTAAAAGAGCAAAAGGCATTCAACGTGAATTGACATTTAGCTCCCATCAACAAGTACCCATGTGCTGTGGCATTGCCAAAATAACGTAGACTTCTATCTGTTATTATAAGTTATATTCAAACTGAACAAAAAGCATTCAGCTTGAACTGTCATTTAGCAGTCATTGACAAGCACTCATGCACAGTAGCATTGCCAAAAAGGCATTAACGAAACGTTATTACTGGATCGAATTGAGTGACATAAGGTAACACATCATTTAGGTGTCATTTACAATGAAAAACATTGTCAAAAGCACCATAGAGAGACAGACGGACAGAGAAATTTATAGAAATTCATAAAAATTCCTATAAAATCATAGAAATTCATAAGTATCTAACCTAACAACTACAGACATATCATCAGTGCCGTCAAACTGAAGGCAGAATGATGCTGTGTGCGTTTAGCAATCATCTTAACTGACCTACATATTATATATTATTCAGGGAGCGGCTGATGGAGCCATTGGACACTCGAAGACAATAGAAGAGGAGACGAAGGAGGGAACACAGACGGACAGACCCGTGTTCAACTTGAACTGACATTTGGCAGTCATTTAAGAAATGAAAAGATGACAGATGAATAATAATTAATTAATAATAATATAATAATATAATAATATAATAATATAATAATATAATAATATAATAATATAATAATATAATAATATAATAATATAATAATATAATAATATAATAATATAATAATATAATAATATAATAATATAATATGATAATATAATGATCTAATAATATAAACATACAATAATACAATGATATAATAATAATAATAATAATATAATAATTATATCAATATCAATTTCTATCAAATCAATTTCAATCAAATTCTATCAACTTCTATCAAATTCTATCAACTTCTATCAATTTCTATCAATTCAATTTCTATGAATTTCTATGAATTTCTATAAATTTCTATGAATTTCTATGAATTTCTATGAATTTCTATGAATTTCTATGAATTTCTATGAATTTCTATGAATTTCTATGAATTTCTATGAATTTCTATGAATTTCTATGAATTTCTATGAATTTCTATGAATTTCTATGAATTTCTATGAATTTCTATGAATTTCTATGAATTTCTATGAATTTCTATGAATTTCTATGAATTTCTATGAATTTCTATGAATTTCTATGAATTTCTCTGAATTTCTATGAATTTCTATATTAAGTTATGTGGTTGCGTCAGAGTACCCTCGGTTTGCAATAAACTAGACTGTTAGGTGATAGATTAATAAATAAAAACCACTTTTAATGAAAAAGTAGAAAAAAAAAAATAATTTTGAATATATTTACCTTTACAGTCAATATCAGTTCTAAAAACTGCAGTCAATGGCATGGCTTTACATTCTCCCTCTTCACATAAATAATGCTCTTCTCGAAAATGTCTGATCAAGTCTTCCATGTTATTATAAAACTGATGTTTTCCATCGGCATCGCAAAAATGACAGAAGAGGTGATTTCTGCGAAGATGCCGAAAGAGCTCTTCGCTATCCATGAATCTGTCATCACAGAATTCGCAAAGTGGGTGTCCTCTATAATAAAATAAATATATTTTTAGTTCAAACTTTACAACTCTATAGTCTAATTTATTAATGATAAATACAAAGTATAATCTGTCGTACATTCAAAATTGTTTGACTTTTTCAGAATCCACTTTAATACCGGTTATTTACGAAAGAATTGATTGTTAGTCATCATTTTTGATAAATATATTATTATTATTATTTTTAAATGCATAAATGAAAACAGGTTAATTACATTGACATTATTACAGTTGTAAAAATACATATTTAACAATACTTTCATACAAATTTAGTAAGAAATTTAATACAATATTAAGACATAATAAGTAGTTGACAAGGGAATTAGCCATGTGTGAGCTGAGGTTAATAAATTTGCTTCAACTCCACAGTTTTTTGTATCAATACTATTCGTTTTTATGTGTTTATCGTTTCTTCTCTCTAGTTATTTTGACATCTTGTTTTGAGATTATTTTTAAAATTGAAAATAAGCAGAAATAATATAACCTTACTTTTTATTTTATTGAATGTGTCAATCTTTGCCGCATTTGAATATCCACATCTGATGTATTTTTTACATCTTGAGCGTTTGTTTATCCACATCTACTACATCTACATTTGTTTATCTGAGATGTAGCTGTCCAGATTACATTTTCTTACATCTCAATTTAAAATTAGATGTGAATGAGATGTTCGTTCCATGCCAGAAAGTAGGTGTTCTGTGAAGCCAAGTTTATGGATTTATCCTTTGTTTATGCTAGCGCGAACATAAAAGTGATTAGTTTGTTTAATTTATGTTTAGATTTCAAATTTAACTTGATTTCTAGTCTCAAAACTTAAATTTAAAAAGCATAAACTTCTAACTTGTCATTATTTTATCACGTGACCAATAAAGTCTAGAGCGTTTGTTTATTACAGCTTTGTTCCAACACACACACACACAAACCGTAATATTACAGTCATCGTCATGCGCAGTAAATAAAAACCGTTCGACTTTGGGCTTTATTGATAGGTTTTTATTTACTGCGCATGACGATGACCGTAATATTACGGTTTTTGTGTGTGTGTTGGAACAAAGCTTACATCTACATTTAAATCTAATCCTCTATCACGTGATAAAAAAATTCACATCTCAGATGCATTCGATGTAGATATTCAAACGCAGCACATGTATCAACAATATTTTAACCTCCAGCTATTTATTTAACAGCCAAATAATGGCAGACAGTCAATGTTAACTGGAATACTGATAAACAGTTTGACACCAATTTAATTGACAGCTTATACTTAACCATCAACCAAAGTACTTACTTAACCATGCACTGATAAACACATCCTAGTGTAACAAGTCAAGAGTATTTATTTGAGGTGCTATCTCGAAATGAATGACACAATACAAACTGCTTCAAATGGGCTACGTCCTTTCACAGTTGTCATTGAAGGTAACTTGGGAAGTGGAAAGAGTAAATCTATAGAGTATTTTAAACAATTCGAGAACTTTGAAGTTTTTCCAGAACACATTGATTTGTGGAGAAATTGTTCAGGTTATAATTTGTTCGAATATGCCATGCCTGATCCAGAAAAATGGAGTTTATCATTTCAATTTCATGTTCTACTAACGCTGTTACTTATTCACCAAAGGAAAGTTAATAAACCAGTAAAAATAATGGAGTGTTCCATTTATAGCTCTAGATATTGCTTTGTTGAAAAAATGTGCAGAGATAATTTTATACCACCAGCTTCAGTTGCAGTGCTTGATAAGTATTATGAGTGGGTTAACGAATCAATTTTGCTCCTGTGGATTTAATTGTGTAGCATATGAAAGGATGCTAAAAAGAAATCGCCCTGAAGATAGGAGGATAACATTTTAACATATCGAGTCAGGGCACTTTCTACATGAAGACTGGTTATATAATAAAATAAATAAATGTATTGCTTCAATGGTTTTGTTAAACGCAGATAAAGATTTATCTATAATAGAAAAAGAGTATCAAAAATAATAAAACATGTAAAATAAATGTTGCCAATATGAAAAATATGATAATAACTACACCTTTTAAGTATAAATACATAAATCATAATGAAGTCGTCATTAAAATAGAAGGCAATATTGTTAAGTGGGTAACGGAATTCAAATACTTAGTCATGTATCTTTCAGTAGTCATTTTAATTATTTGCAAAAGAAAAAATAAATTATATTTTCTTTCAAGAGTTTCACAAAATTTTACCATGAATTACGATACAGATGATAACCAATAAGGTAGAGATGTTAGAATAAGGTACCGTCTGCGCATCCATGAGGAGCATAGAAATTGTGCATGATTCAATGTTCCACTCTTACACATGTAAATGAAAAGAATGAGTTGCCTTAAAGCACAGTAAACAAATTGAAGGCTTGGCTTTGTTCAGCTATTATGTTCATGTTCAGCTTTGCTTTTTGTTTGTGTTGTGGTTGTAAGTTTTTTGGCGTCAGTTCTTTATTGGCTTGCTTATATTTGTGATTTTTTTGTGCTTTGATTTCGATTTAGTATTAAATTATACCTGTTATTTTCCTGTGCACTATTTTATAACTGTTGCACAAAATGTTCTTAAACCGTCCCTGAATCTTATTTACAAAACGTGCAAAACGAAATTGTGCATAGTGTCTATACTTTTCCATTGACAGTTTTTTACGCTTTTCCACTTCATTGATGATAACACCCAAATTAAGGCATTCAACAAAAAAACATTAAGGGCCCTATTCAGTAATTTATCGTTTATGAACGACATCGTTAAGCTAACGACAGTTCAACCAACGACTTTTATAACGATAATTTTTGAAACTCTATTCAATAACAAAGTCGTTACGTTGTTTCTAGTTACCAAATCTGAACGATGATTTCTAGTAAGTTGGTATTATAATTTAGTGTTTTGTGATAAAAGAACGTATGTTGATGATTATACCGGGTGTTTAAATTAAAGTTTTACAGTTAAATATCGCCAAAAATATGAATTTTATAAAAAAAAAGTATCAGACAGAAGTTTTATAGTTTTTTAGGGGAAACATTTTGGCCAAATTATTTTTTTATAGCTGACCATAATATGGCCATATCGAGGTGGATTTTTTTTCAAATTGGAACCCTATTTTTTTACATAGGTATTTTTAGAGTTCATAAACAAATAAGAAACTTCTAAGGACCGATTCCACCGTTGTGTTAAAATCGGCCCTAAAGGAAACATTTTTTTTATTGGATTTCTACTTATTGAGTAACACCTACTTGAAAATTTTGCTGCGCGAAAAAAGTTGGCCATATTATGGTTTGCTATAAAAAAACATTTTTAGCCAAAATTTTTCCCCAAAAAACTATAAAACTTTGTTTTTTTTTATAAAAGGCGGTATTTAACTGTAACCCTTTAATTTGAACACCCGGTATATTTGACATTTTTTTGGAACTAGTAGATATATTCATTTGTTTTTCAGAATATATTAATTATTGCTCTTTGAACACCCGGTATATTTGACATTTTTTTGGAACTAGTAGATATATTCATTTGTTTTTCTGAATATATTAATTATTGTTCTTTAAACCTACAACACGATCATCAGGGGGTCGATTCTCGATTCGTAGTAATTCTGTTTCTCGCGGGCCATTTTTGCTGGTCGTATTGTATGTAGGGTTTATTTAAATGAGTATGGATATATTAAAAAAAACTGAGAACTATTCCATAAGAATACAAAAAACAACTCGAGAACAGTACAAATTGTATTTATTGGATTTGAAAGACAAACCAAATTTGTGTAGGTTACGGAGAAGTATTATATATAGGTACTTCCATAATATAGGTTCTGTTACTGTTTCGCAAAGAACAGCACTGTTAATAAGAATCGAATAGTAAATGGTTGAATGGGCAATCCTAACTTTGAATCAGATTTATTTTTAAAATAATTAAATAAATTAGAAAAAAATTCCTTACAAATTGTACTTGCTGTATTAGGTAGATGTCAATTTAGTTGTAAAATTTGTAAAAAAGTGCTTTTATTATTTAAAACAATGAAAAATGAGAGGGAATGCAAAAATCACTATAACGACACTTCATATTATTAACGACAGCTCTTTGGCTATCGTTGATGAACGACAATTTTACAACCATATTTGTCTATTTTCAACGACAATCGTTGTCTACTGAATAAGAAAAGTCGTCTGTGAACGATTATCGTCTATTAACGACGTCGTTCAGAGTTACTGAATAGGCCCCTAACTTTTAAGGGCTTTTGTAATAATATAAGTATACATATTTATTTATTGGATGCATCCAAAAATATTTACTGATATAGAATAGATTTATATTTTATTTTAAATACATAATGATATCAAGGACCTGTGCCATCATATTTGATTGATTATAACAATTTGCCAAGTTATATAAAGGGTTCTAAGACTAAATCAATTTAAACTAATTTAATGGATTATTTAATAAAAAAATATATAGGTTATAATTATTATTAGCTAATTACACTGGTTGACTTCAACTATATTTTATTGTTGATTTATTTTTTGTCCTTTTTATAGTGTCTAATTTAAATTTAATTTTTGCATAAATTAAATTCTTGTAAATTAGGTTTATCCTACTTTCAAATAAAGATTATTATTATTTGATAGTCTTCTTAACTGTTATGGTTTAAAATATAGCAATGTTAGTACATGATGAAAGAAAAAGCCAGTATTGGTAGCTATAATAGCTAGACTTAGGCACTGACCGCTCTTTTTACTATTCATACTACTTTTATGTATTATACATGTTAAATTGATGTTTTTTGTTCTTCTGATAAAAACGGTCTAAGTATTACTATCGTTATTGTTAAAAAACTACAACCAGTAAGTGACAGGAATTTAAGATTTTACATGTTAAAATTAAAAGCTACAATACCTATGGGAAGTATTATCTGGATCTCCTTTCCGTCTATGAAGTCCCAATTCCTGTCTAGTGTAACAACGTTTTTCAAAACTAAAAATCTTAAGGTTGTCTGTACATATATCACAATAGAAAAGTTCATGCTCCCTGCGCATGTGATCTTTGAGTTGTTGGAAAGTCTTGAAAGGCCATTTCCTTTCATTTTCCTCACAGATCATGCAACGGTGTTCCAGAAGTTTGTAATAAGCTTTTTGAATGTCAGAAGTGCAAAAATAAATGCCAAATTTGCGATCTTGTAAATTTGACCTTTCAAATTTTGGAAACAGAGATGCAAATGGTTCAATGGTTTTAGTAAAAACAACCTGAAAAGAATAAATAAACATAATTTTAATTGGTGTTTTTATCATAATCCGGCAAAGAGTGCACCTATTTGGACTTGGTGCCTTGAAAAGTTTATAGTAAATTCAATAGCACTCACATATTACACTATGAGAGTGAAACATAAAATATATAGATATAATTATTATAATAATAATATAATATGAATAAGGATAATTTCCTAATCGTAGCAGAATTTTATATAAATAAAAATTTCCTAGGTTAATTAATAATTAATAATTAATTATTGGTATAATTAATAATAAAAATAAGTGCAATGTCACCCATCACATGACAGTGTGCTGCGATCGTCATAAGTAAAAGTAGAGTAAAAGAAGAGAGAATAGTCCAGAAATGTCTAGAAACGTCATTACTTCTCAAAAAACCTAGGCAGTTCGAGAAGGGTCAAGCAAGCTATATAAGGGCATGATCCTGACGTCAGTTTTAAGTTTTATGATAGACATTATATATATTAATGTTATCAGTTGTATAGTTATTGTAAAAGTTGAGTTGAAATAAATTGAGATACCAAAAACCTGCTTAACAATAACATAGATTATATATACAAAGGAATTTTAAACATAAATTTTAATTTTCAATAATTTCATGTACAAAGGCATGCTCAAGATAATTTTTTTAATTTTCTTTTTATATAACGGAAATTTAACAATTTCGTTTTTAATATCACAGGGGAGTGAGTTATAAATTTTAGGACCTAAAAAGAAATAAGATTTTTGTCCAATAGCTTCATATAAGGTGGGTTTGTTATAGGTGGTATATTAGTGACTTAGAGTTTTAAGTTCCACTTTGTGATTATATTGGGTAATACCTACGTTTATAAAATATAGCTGTCTAGGATCAAATATACCATTCTCACTATGTAACAAATTGGTTGGACAATCATAACCCCTCTGAAGAATGATTCTACTAAATCGTTTTGGATACGCCACTCCATCCTATTATCCCATAATTAAGATGTGATTCAACTAAACTCTTGTATATTATTTTTTGTTTAAAATCAAGAATAGAACATATTTGTTTAAACTTATATAGTACACAACGCAGTTTTTTTAAGACATATTCTGTGTTGATTCCATCTTATGTTATGGTCTCATATAATTCCAATGTATTTTATTTTACTTACAGGTGTAATAGTAAATGTATTTCCAACAATAAGATTATAATCTGGAAGAGTGTTACTATAAGAACTAAATGGTATGTAATATATTTTTTTAAAGTTTAATGACAAGAGCCTATAATCAAACCACATCTTTATTTTTTCTAAGTCTTGATCTAATTTTATCTTTAGGGCATACCAGTAACTATCTTCTCAAAACAATACTGTACTATCAGCAAAACTAATTATTTTGCAATTTGTCCAGGAATAGATTATTTAAATATATATTAAAAAGAATAGGCCCTAGGCGTACTCTAATTTAGAATAGACATGTACCTATTCCTATACTATTGATATTAAAAGTTTGGTAAATTGAGTATTGAATATTATTTTTAACACCATATATAAGTAATGCAACAATATATTTAAATAGAAATGTTTACTGGTGCAAACTAGAGTTGGGCTGAACGGTTCACTTTACTGATTCGAAACATTTGAATTAATCACTAAAAAGATCCGTTCCTACAGTTCAGTTCTTGGTCAGTGAAGGTTAATTAAAGAAGCATATTGAAATTTTGCAACCGGATGGGCGACACCAGTGATTCGGAGGCTTACAGTAGGTGAACAGTGACTCAAAACGACACATACAAAGTACAAACAACTAATTTGAAAACTTGGAAAACATTTTAAACTAAAATGTTTAAATACTAAATAACATAACCCAAAGCATATAGATTTGCTTATCATATAAAATATGAGAACTGCCTGATAAACTAAATTTAAAATCTGTGTCTGTGATGTAAATTCTAAATCTTAATACAAATACATGTTAATTGTTAATTTCACATTCATAAAAAGCAAAGATGTTCAGATGTTCTTTAGCTTTGTATGAATCTTTTGAATTACATAAATTGCTGATTGACTACTGGATAAACGGAACAGTTGGGATCCTTTTTAACAATAGGGATTCAGAACAACAGATCAATAAAAAAATTGGGTCCTTATGGATGGCTCGTTCCTGACACACATATCTAGTGCAAACCTAGGAAAAAAATAAAGAATCAATACATTTTTCATCTCACCACAATAAGCAATATGGTTAACAGAGATTAATTCTCCAACCCTTTTTATTAATAAATATATGTTTCAAATTGCATTCTCCACATACTAGACTAGGCAGAAAGAAATTCGAAAGTATTCAATTAGAACATGTCTCTATAGAGAAATTATTTTTATGGCACATCCAGTGAATCCCCTAACAATTATACAATGATAACTTTTTACAATGGTGAGACATATTGTAATTTTGAGTATTTAAACCGAAACATTTATCAAGTATAAAAAGTGACTAAGAATTGCAATAATGGGTTAAATTTAATAATTTATTTAGTCCATATGTCCATAATATTCAATGCAATACCAGGTGTTTATAAATATTATATAAGAGAATTGTTCACTTAGCACCTTTGTTAAATCTAAAAATAACTCATATTTATATTAGAAAACAGAAAAATTTTATTGACAGGAAATTGCTAAATTACCTTAAGTAGTAATTGTCGGCATATGGGACATTCATTCTGCTTACAGAGAACCCTCATCCTAGTTGAGCACTCAAAACAGACAGCATGATCGCAGGATCCTATTGAATAAAGATCTACATTTTTAAAGCAAACGACGCAAAGATTTTCAATATCACTGAAATTTGCTCCCTCTGTTCCAGACATTTTACAATTTCCTGGAGACAGACGTTTAAGTTTTAAGGCGATTTTAGAAAATACAACCTAAAATGGCAAATGTAGAAAAATCTGAAAGTTTGGAATGTCGATATTTGACTAATGACAATGACATGACGTGACAGGCTAAGAGCAAGACGTGGACCAAGGTTATTTTTCTAAACAGCATAGCCTAGTTTCTCAAATCTGTCTGTAAAGTGCACTATTGCCAAACCACTGACATTGCGTTCGGTCTGCCAAGTTCCTTGAACTCCTTTAACACTTTTTACTCCAAACGTTAGCGTTCGATTTAGTCCAATGATCTGGAGTGGGGTTAGAAAGTCAATGTGCATATTGTATCAGTAGAACAAGGTGCGACTCTATAAGCGCAGCCATTGTTATTTCTCATCTCACTCGGGAGTATTTATAATAACCATTTTCTGTTTCACATTGTTATTGTTCAATCCACAAGCTGGTGGATCAGACAATAACAAAGTGAAATAGAAAATGGTTGTTATAAATACTCCTGAGTGAGATGAAAAATAACCTGTCTTCGCCCATAGAGTCGCATCTCAAGCCTAATTGACAAGCATTCTACCCCACTCCAGTTCATTGGTTTAGTCCGATTAGTGACAGTTTAACACGCTTGAATATGATTTAAAAGCACCCTAAAAAACTCCACTTTTGTCCCGCTCCAGCCCCTGACTATCGGAACTCGCCTTGAATACACTGAAGTGTAGAATCCCCACATACTTTGATTTTCTTTTACTATACGGAGAATGGTCGCACTGCGCAGCTTTCTGAGTGCCTTTTAAAAGGAGATAGAAAACTCCGCCATTTTGAACCCTTATTACGTGTTGCCTACATCTTGGCGCAATATTTTTAACAGGTGCGTTTTACGCCCGTATGCACCGTACACGTTTAATCCAGATTAAGGGTTTAATCGCGATTAGTACCATTTTTAGCTATGGTACTAAACACGATTAAACCCTTGATCTGGGTTAAACGTGTACGGTGCATACGGACGTAAATCATCCGCTTCTGCTTCGGAATTGTCGGTTTTCTTGTTTTAATCTGACAGGTTAGAACGACTGAACCGACAATTCCGGAAGCAGAAACGGATGATTAAAACGCACCTGATATTTTGCTTGCTGCTGTCAGTGTCAGTGAATATTATTTTTGGAGTCACAGTTTATTGCTAAAGAATCAGTTAGCTCACTCGGACCAGTTGAAAGTTCCAAAATAACATCCACTTCAGGGATACAAATTTAGGATACGCAGAAGACTGCTGTTTTATTATAGGCGGTTGTCATGAATTGTATTATCTGAGTTGCGCAGTGTATAAACTGGAACATTGAGATAAAAAGTGCCGACGCAGAGTGAGCGATCTGATTCTTTAGCTATAAACTGTGTCATAGGGTTCAAAATGGCCGCGCCCTATGTTGGGCGTGTCGGACCTCTTTCTTGCCCCGACTTTAGGTCCAGTAAAATTTTAAAGAAATTTATTTTTTATCAGAAAGAGAGTATTTTAAATAGTACATTAAAAAAAAACATTTGCGGTAAATGCATTATTTAAGCCAAAAAAAATTATTTAATTTCTATAAAAATCAGCATTTTGACGACTGTAAACATGGAAACTCGATGGTTTCTGTCAAATTTAGAAAATATAATTACAACGTTGCCGGATTGTGATAAAATTAGTAGTTAATGGAAAATTGTGATTGCGCATACTGATCCATAAATATGCAACAAGAAAACGAAGTAACGACTTATCGTAGAGTGGCGGCTTCGCCGCCACCAAAAAACATCAACCCATACCTGGCTACGCCGGCCGACATAGACTCCAACGGCCTGGACACAGCTCAAATTGAATAATTGAAATGAAAAGTCTCATATAAACACATTTATATTCTGGTTTTATCATTTGGCTTGGAGCTATTGAAAAAACAGCCACAGTCATTCCTGTTATGTACGTTTTTTTACTATGTTTGATAACTCCACATTTATAGAAATAAAAATATCAGTTGTCATATTATTCATAAAAAATAATATAGAACGGTATTACCATGAATATATTTATTTATAACAAAAAGCAATTGGCAACATCGCTAAAATCACGCACAGGCGCTCTTAGTGTGACTGTCAAATCGAAAAAATTAAAAACAATATAGCAACGTGAGAATGTAGTGAATAAATGCATATTCCTAATTTTTTAGCTTACAAATGTGTTTTAATAATATTTGTTACTTTAATAATTAGGTTAGTGCACACTTATAGAAGATTAAAATGTGTAAAAATATTATGGTTTTTCTTAATCTTTATGGAAAAAGTGACAAAATTACTGGACCTAATATCAACCGTAGCCAAAATCAATTATAATTTCAAAGCGAAAAATTTATTCAAAAATGTGTTTTAGAGGGTCTAAAATGGTCTGAAAAAAATTCGAACAAATTGGCCGGTTCATGTTTTGACGTATTTTTCCTTATCATTTTTTGGTGTATATTGAAGACAGTAAAAGTTTTAAATGCCAAAAAACAAGTTTTATGTTATTTTATTACCTTTTTTTTAGTTTAAAAGTTCCTATTTTCCATAGAGCATCTACGGCTATGTAAATGGACCGGGCACGACAGCGCAAGTTCCCGATCGTAAACTGACATTTCATTCATCTTTCTCGTTCTTGCACATAACCAATAATAGGTTTTCTCTTGCTAATTTACTTTCTGTCGTTTTGACATTAAATCGGTTCGGTTTCGGTCTCGGTCGTTCAGTTTCAGTTTATTACTTTTGTTAGTTTACGTTTAGTTTTATGAGATTCGTGTACAGTGAGAGGTGTGTGTTAACGTGTTTTTCTCTCAAAACAAACAATACATCACTGAAAATATATAAAACGACGGATGTTTTTACTGAATTTATAGTTCATTGAAAGTGACTTTACTCTGGTTGTAGTGTTTTCCTTTGAAGGATAATTTGTTTTCTTCAGTGGCTCCTGTCAGACGGTAAGCTATTTTTATTTATTCTTATTGGGAATTGGGATCATCTAAAGAAACGAGTTCATATATTAATAAGGTCCAAGTTCAGTTAAAGTTAACTTGAATTACAACAACGGCTTGATACAAAATGTTTTGAATGCAGTTCTTAGGAAGATGGGAAGTAATCCAATTGACCTCATACTTGGATGGAATGTGTGGGAGCGTTTTAGGATTGAAAGAGGTATCTGATGTCTATTTTGGTTTGTAAGTTGTGTGGGAGCCAAATGTTAGCGGAAACAACGAAAAATGTCTTCATATTATTTGTGTTCGAAATGCAACAATATATTTGCAGGTCATTGGTTTTATTATAAGTCATCTAATTTTCAATTACAACGGTAACTATAAGATTCTACTCAAAAATTTTAAATTCCTTATTAATCGAAATCCGATTTAAATTGTACCTACCTTAAGTACTTAAAAGTTTGTTTTTTATGCTCTCATCCTGGTCTAAAATATGTTTTAATTATTTAAGTAATTATTACTGAGTATTAGAAACTTATTTTACATTAAATTAATTGAATGTTTCCATATACATACCTACCCTGAAATATTTTATGTAATATAAATTAAAACGGTGTTTCCGAAAAAGTTGTAGGTGTAGCAGGAAAAAGTTTCTTACATTTTACAAAAAAAAATTATTGATAAAAAGTTCTGCATCACATTAGAAATCCATAATCAAGAATGAAATTTAAAAAGTTCAAAATTTCCAATACACACTTTATCATTGGTCTTGGATTATTTGTTGAATAAAGTAAATCGAAATCATTTTTTAATTCCTATCAACATTTTTAATGCTTAATGAGACCCTGAGAACTGTATTGCCACTTAAAATATATGACAATCCTCACATAAATTTTTTTTCCAGTCCCAGGAAAAACAGTTCCAACACTTTTTTTGTTAAGTATACTGACAAAAACATGTAAAATATGTTCTTACATTTTATTTGTGTTAATTTTACTGAAATAAATGTTTATAGGTAGGGTTGTGGTTTGGTAAGGTGACCAATCTTCCTCCTTTAGAAATTGCCAGTCCTTTTGTAGGTTTTGCCCTCCAGTTTGTAGTTTGTCCTTCCTCCTAAAGGGTCCTCCTAGCTCTTCTCCTTTTCATTATTTTAAAACTAATCTGTTAATATCTGTATGTTGATACTCTAGCTGCAGCACTTACTGTAAAATTCAATATGAAGGATATTTCTTGCTCTGAAATTTCCAATATTATTGTTAGAAAATGATGTAGGTATTGACAAATAATATGTATTCAGAAAAATACTCAATTAAATACAAAAAATTCCAATTTCTCAAATGTGACAAATTAAAATAAAATCGATGGAAAATAGAATATCTCTAACGCCCGTATGCACCGTACACGTTTAATCCAGATCAAGGGTTTAATCGCGTTTAGTACCATAGCTAAAAATAGTACTAAACAAGATTAAACCCTTAATCTGGATTAAACGTGTACGGTGCATACGGGCGATAGTCTGTGTCATAGCAAAGTTGACTCTTGAGCAACCCTTTTCCTCCTGAAAACAACTACTCCCTTGGCTAATACTGCAACAGGTGTTGCATTATATCAGTAGGAAAAGAGCAGAGATAGAAAACCATTTCAACACTCTAGCTTTGATTTTGCTTCCTAAGGAGAAAGTCATTACTTGTACCAGTTTCATCCTTTTTAGGACTCATCAGCAAGCATTAGACGATATCGACTTCAGTCTCTAATGAAGTCTGCCTGATGTGAGACTTCACTCACATGCATTGAGAATCTGTTGAGCTATAAAAAATTTCCCATGTAAATCCTTTTTCCTAAGACCTGTTAGTTACACCTGATGAAGTAAAACAGGTTATTTGTTCATTGAATCAATCGAACTCTCCTGATTATCACAAAATGAACAGTAAGATAATAAAAGAAATCTATATCATTTTAGGAGCCTTGATCGAGGCCTTGACTGAGTTAATCAATATCATTTTTTATATTGGTGTCTTTCCTGATAAATTAAAAATATCCAAAGGTATACTATTATATAAAAAAGGTGACCAGAATCTTGTTCAAAAATATAGACCAATTTCTGTAACGTCGTTTTTTTCTAAAATAATTGAAAAATTACTAAAAAACAAATATTTTGAGGACAGAAAGACTCCAGTCGATAGCCCTTTGGAATTATCCCCATTAAAGATATTTTTCTTCTAAATATTTTGAAGAATATTTTTTTTTTAGTACTGGTCAATAATACATTGATAGTAACTCTATGTAACCTAACCAAGGCCTTTGACTGTGTCTCCCATAGCATCTTATTTGAAAAGTTGTATTATTATGGAGTTAGAGTAATGTACTGGATTTATTAGTCCTTTTTAACAGATCATAGTCAGTCAGTTTTTTGGATTCGCTTTTATTTGTATTATATACAGGGTGTTAAAAAAAAGTGTCACAAAATAAAACGGGGGGTAGTATGGGCCAAAATATGCAGAAAAGTCTTAATAAACTTATGTCCGCAAATGAATGGTTTCAGAGATACGGAGTGTTTTGTATCATTTTTTGATTATCTTTTTTCATTCTCAAAAACTTGCTTTCCTTATCGGAGTCTACCAATGTTTTTTCATAGATACTATTTGCAGTTATTATTTTGTTGTGGGTGAATAATTTTATAAATTTTCGTTATGCCTGTTTACACTAATATTGAATTAGTTGACATGCATTTTATGTACGGTCGTGCAAATGGCAATGCGAGGGAAACGCTATGTCAGTATTTGAACATCTCATTTAACTCTATGTTGTTATTGATTGTTTATAAATATCATTGTTTTTTTATAATAATAAAAAATTGTTATAAACACAAAATGGTCCCTATCTCTGAAACCGTTAATTTGCGGTCATATATTTATTAAGACTTTTCTGCTTATTTTGGGTCATACTATTCACCATTTCATTTTGTGACACTTTTTTTTTAACACCCTGTATAAATGGTTTTGCACAGTACATGAATACTTATATCTGTGTGCTTTTTGCCTATGCTGCTGCTCTACAATGTTCAGATATAAATTTTGATGAATTTATCCACAATTCATTACATGCGGAAGCAAAAGCTGAAAATTGGTTTACTGGTAATAGCCTCAAACTAAATAGAGAAAAATCATAACAAATGTTATTTACAACACAAAACATCGCCTATATGAATCAGTTAAACTTTTAGGATTTTAAGTGTATTTACTATTATAGATTAAATTGATACAGTAACATTTTTTTTTATTTATTTATTGCACCTTATAAGAAAATTGTACAAAAAAAATTATACAATGTTTACCTTGAAACATGTCATGGTAATTATAAAAATACATAAAATTATATACATAAAAAAAAAATAAAAAAAACACTAACAAAAACATGAATTATTATGTAAAATATTCTTCTATGGAATAGCAGTTTCTCTCTAATAAAAGTTTTTTTACATTAGACTTAAAAGTGAAGAGATTACTGTTGTTCTTTATGCCATCTGGAAGGATATTATAAAATTTACACCCATATACTCTAGATTCTTTTCAAAAAGTGCCATACAGTGTCTAGGTATTAGTAATTGGCTTTTGTTTCTTGTGTTATACTCATGAGAAGCACGCTCGGCAACATATATTGATCTGTTCTTATGAATTATTTTGTAAGTAAATTATTTTCTACTTTGTTTCTCTTAAGACAGTTTGGGTATGTTACCAGTTAATGTCAAAGAAGGCAGCAGAGCACCTAGGCAATTTTGAGTTGAAACCTATGCCATATTTTTATGGTGTTTTAAAGCTATTTTTATACCCTATTCAAAAAGTTTAAACTATTCGTTTTTTTGCAAAAAATCAAGGTACTCTGCTAGCTCGGACGAAGTCAGCAGAGCACCTCACTTTTTTGAAGTATTTTCCCAAAAAAACGACACCATATAATATTATAAAACTTTTCGAAAAAAATCGATATTTTTAAAGGATGCTTTGCTAGCTTTAAACGAAGCCAGCAGAGCACCTCGGTTTTTAAAGATTTTTTTCTTAAAACAACTACAATACAACCGGCGTGACAACAGCCACGAGTTCCAGCCATGAGTTTGACGGCAGGAACCAAAGCGCCAGCGGTAATCAATCCATGGCTGGGCTGTGAATCCATGGCTGGGCCGTGAATCCATGGCTGAGCCGCGAATCCATGGCTGGGCCGTGAAAAATTAATTCATTGTAAACAAACTGTAATAAATCGTATGTATCTAAATTACAAAAAATTATTTACCCCTCAAAACAAGCCTTTATATTAAACACTTAAAAAATCTTTACTGGCTTAAAATGCAAGTAAATTAATTTTTTATATACAAATTAGCTTGTATTTATGTCTTCTATTTGATGTATATGTCGGAATATTTTGCCGGGCAGGAAATCACCCTCAAATCCAGCCCTTATATTAAACTCTTAAAAAATCTTGGCCTGCCTAAATTGCAATAAAATGAAACTTTTTTTATATAAATTTGATCATATTTATGTACTCAACCTAATGTATATCTCAAAATATTTTGCCAGGCTGTAAATCACCTTCAGATTAAACCACTAGAGATTTTTTAAGTGTTTAATTATGGAAAGTTGAAGTGAGGGTGATTTGCTGACTGGAAAAATATCATACTATATACAGGGTGTTTCAGAATAAATTACCGTAAAAAGGGAATTTGTAGATAGATCTTAACTTAAGAGAAGCTAAATATAATTTTGATGTAAACGCCCCAATGTTCATTATACAGGGTGCTAAAGTGAAAAGGGGTTGATTTGAGGGTGATTTCCGGCCCGGAAAAATATTCTAAGATATACATCAAATAGAAGACATAAATAAACTAATTTGTTTATAAAAAAATTTATTTACTAGCATTGTAAACCAGTAAATATTTTTTAAATGTTTAATATAAGGGGGTGATTTCAGCCCGGCAAAATATTTTGAGATAAACATTAGGTTGAGTACATATTATC